ATTTTATAGGTTAATATTTAAATACACTTTGATTCTTAAAGCTCACTTTTTAGTAACCAAATGCCTAATGATGAGAACACAAGAAACTTATTTTGGTAAAATAAAGAACCTTTGCCTTTAAATCTAGTTTTGTAAGTTTAACCAAGAGCATTTCAATATTTTATAAATCCAAGAGCATTTCAATATTTGTAAGATAGAAAACTTAACCTTTTAATTATAGCCGAAAACAATTACTTTAGACACTCCATTATAACGGATAATACTTATTAAAGCCATATATATCATCTTTGACTGTGCACTGCACACAAACAGTAATAGACATTACATTTGTAATGCTGATTGTTGATACTATTTTGGTTACCTAGGAACCTTGATGGAAATATTACCAGCTATAAAGACAAATTAGCTTACTGTGAAGCTATATGAATCACAAGCATTTGAGATAATGTCTTGCTTGTTTATTTATCTATAAGCCAATTTAAGTAAAACTTCTGGAGAATAATATATGTCTGAAAGTTAACACACAGGAACATATACATGTTAACCAAAATCATATGTAACACTTATGTTATCAAACTTCAAGGCCTTTATTCTTATGTAAGCCTCAAGCCTGTCAGTCCTTGTGTGGTAATGTTTTAAATGAGTTTGCCACCCCCACCAGGCCTATATAAATGCTTTTCTATGGAAAACTCAAAAAGAACCAAAAGAATAAAAATAAAAAGAAATTATTGAACTCAAAAACATACTTTTCTTAAATGAAGCAGCTGCAGGTGCCTTAACTGGTTATTGACATACACGGAACAGACAGATGGACAAACAAACTCACAAAACAGTTGTTTAAATTGGAGTGCACTCTCAGATGTCCTGGCCAGGTTGAACTACAGCACCTTTTTATAGTTTTTAGATTTGTAATTATAAAAACACTACTCGGAACTTTTTGTTATAGTCTTCAATTAATAGAAATCTATAAAAAGAATCAGAAGGCAAAACCCTGTTCACACCTGTGAAAGCAAAGACTGACTTTAGGAAGGGCCCTGGGCTGATGCTTTCTCTTCTTCAAATAGCCAGCTGTACAGGTTTGTCGTTGTTTAATAGCCATAGCTGATAACCAGAGCTGCTGTTTTGATATCAGTATGTAGTTGTTCTCTCTAAAGGGACAGGCTGTTAAAGGTAATTCCAGCTATTTTTATTTTCAGGGGGTGCTCATCTTTTTTTCGGATTCATAGTATACAGTTTAAAATAATTGAAGAGCTTAGTTCTTCGTTAGGGAACAGAGGGCAAGGGAAGGGAACCTCAGGTTCAGTCATGGTACCTGCTTTAGGGTAGAACCTTAAGGACTAGAGGTTTCTAGTTTTTCAGTGGCTTGCATGTGTACTTTGAACACAGGTCAGGCTTGTCTCATTGCAAATCAGGAGACCTAAGCAACTGCTTTCTAACATCTCTGGGGATTGATAAAGTTTGTAATGGACCCCCCCTCCCCCAAATCCCACCCTTAAGCCCTAGGGCAAAGACGTCTTTTGAGACATTTTTGTGCAGTCTGCCTAAATGCCTAGGCGCCTCTCAGCAGCAGTACAGGGTAGGTTTTCCTGTGGAAGCCTGAGCTGATTGTCTAGCAGTGACAACTTCCACATTAGCATGAGTACATGCGTCAATTTCAGCCCCCCGCCCCACCACACAGAAATGATGAGAACTAGACATAAGAGAGGGGAGATTGGGGCCTTTTGAGAAGGTGAGAGAGTAAGAGAGAAAAGTAAATCATTAGGTTCCTTCTAGGTTTAAGTCTGTAGACTTTACTAAGTTTGGGGATAGCTTCAGCTATCTCCTGACCTAGTTGTGTCTGCCATGTTGGGCCATGATCCTGCCCACCTAAAAAGGAGGTCCATGGCATCAAGTAGACTGCGTTTGTGTCCTTTGGTTTAGTGGGAGATTAAAGAGCAGTTTAGAAAACCTCCCTTTCTCAAGATCTTTTCAGGGTCTCTTCCTCTGATCCTTAGTAGAAACATGCCTCCCCCCCAGAAGTGAAGGACAGAGTGGCAGGAAGAGATTGGAACTAAGAGTTTTAGTAGTGCAAGAGGTTTTCGCCTCATCCTTGTGATGAGTTGGTAGGACAGTTTGTTCAGCAGGAGTTGTCACTCTCAGTCTTACATGCTGCGAATTGGGTACTGCAAGAGCTAAAATTTGTCCCTTCACCAGTGAAGGATTAAACCAGAGAGGAAACCTAGGCAGAGCAGGCATAGCATTCCCTTCTACAGGCATGGAAGAGGGGGTATAAGGCCAACTCCCTTAGAGAAGTCTGTCCTCCCAGATTTAAGAACAGTAGTAATGCTAACTAGTTTTTAATTGGCTGAGAGTCCTGTGTTTCATATTTGAAGCATGCTATAGTATTTTGTAAAAAGGCTAGATTCTGTCTAAAATTTACCCTGAAGATACAGTTTCTGTGAAAAAACAAAGTCCACTAGGGGACCTTCAGCATCACCTTTCCCCAGTGCCGCTGTCTAAAGTAAGACAACAGACCCTCTGTGAACCACCAAACAAGGATTACGAGTAAGTGCAGCACCTAGGAAGTCTAAATGCAGCGTATACAAAGCAGGAACACAAGGCCCTGCCTGCAAAAATAAAAATGACCCATCAAAAAAACTTAAAGATGAAGACATCACAATCTTCCCTGCTCTCAACTTAAAACTATCATCATTTTAACAAGAAAGATGAGGCATACGCAGCTGACCAACAAAAGACAGTTGTTGATTACCCAAAAGAGTCACAACCCAGAATCCAGTCAAAGTATTTCGGGGTGCTGTGAAACAAAAGCCAAGTCTTCCTTCTGAAGATCTCAGTGGGGCTTCCAAAATGAAATAGGGGATATAGAATGCCCAACCTGCTAGGTGTCAGATGTTTTGAGTTTGTGTCCCTGGAAATCAAAGAATGAATTCCAAAAGGACAAAGGAGGTTAAGAGTGGGCAGTGTTTATTGGGGAATTGGAATAGCTCCTGAGAGACAGGAGGGGACCAGAGAAGGGTTCCCCAGTGTGGCACAGTCTAAGAAACAGAACTGGTAGCCTAAAGGGGACAGCATTTAAAATTTAGTGTGTGTTATGGTGTGTGTCTGAGTGTCCCCACAAAACCTCATGCAGTCATGGGGCGGGCTTCTAGAGTTTATGATTGATCGAGGTCCAATGCTGGGATTATGGGTGCGAGAGCCACACCCACCCTGGGGCGGGTAGTTTGCATACAGTATAAGGAAGGGAAAGAAGCTTGCTCTCCTGGCTTGCTCCTCCCCTTTTGCTCTTGCTGCTTTTGCTGTCCCACTGCCATGAACAGTTGCCCCTGCTGTGTGCAGTTGTGCCTTCGAGCCAGCCGAGTATGGACTGAAACCTCCACAAACTGTGAGCTAAATAAACCTTTCCTTCCTTAATTTTGGGCGTTGGGTATTTTGTCTCAGCAGCGAGAGAAAAGTAACCAAGACAATATGTGTTATCACGCTACTCCCCATAGGTTGTTCTAATTTATATCCATGTGAACAGAGCGTGAGAATATCTCACCAACATGGTTTTTAAATTTTTTGGTCTTTGTCAGTCTAAGTAAAAATGTTGTAGCTTGCATTTCTCTTAGAATGAGCTTTATAATTTTTTGATATACTTAAAAGACATCTGTATTTTTATTTCTTTGAATTGTCTGTTCAGGTCCTTTGCCCATTTTTCTTTGCTGTTTGTTGATTTCATTACTGTTGATCTTTTTTTTTCTTTATGACATATTTACCAAATACTTTTTCTTATTTGTCTTTGACTTTGTGATATTCTTTAGCATGCATATGCTTTTATTTTTTGTGGTCCTGGGAATTGAATCCAGGGTTTTTCTACCCTTTAATCAAACTGTGTATAATTGATACCATACTTGGTAATTCAGATGAAATGATGAAATAGAAGAGAAAAATAATTTTCAGTATTCTAGTTTTAAAAACTTTTTTGGAATGCTTGACCAATAGATCAGCAAGTGTTATAGTTCTAACCTGCTATAAGCAGCATTTATTATCCACTACAAAATTCCTTTGGGTATTGTCATAAAGTCAGTACATTTAGTGTATATTTAAGTTAAGAAGGATACTTTATGGTGCTACCCGAAGGGATCAGGAGGAGAGTGTGAAGAGGTCAGTTTACGAAGGGTGAGGCAAGTTAGGAAGTGGTTTCCTGGACGCTTTGCCCTTAGGCTTCTTGCACCTCCAAATCCAACCTGAGGTTTTGCAGGCACCATTTTCTGTTAGAACAAAATCTCAGGGACTTAGCACGCGTTCTTCCATTTTCATTTCCTTATTTACCTAGCTTGGGGTGTGATTTAATGGTTGCCAAGATTGGCCGTGAAATAAGATAGTCTCTGCGTCCAACACCTTTCACTGTTCCTGAAGGTAGGAACATAAAATATAATAGTTTATCTCCGATCACTGTGTGCACAGATAAGGGACTAAAAATAACAAATATGAGGAAGTTACAAAATGCAAGGAAATATTATTACGTTCTGGTCATAATGACCTATAGTTCTGGATTCTCTTCTGAGATGGCAAAAGGACAGTCAGCTGGTCTTCTTTATCTTTCTGCACAGTTCACTTCACCTCACCTCACCGCTCCCCTTCTCTCCTCAGTATTGCGGGTAGACCCCTAGGCTTCACATGCTGGGCAAGCATTCTATCACTGAACTCCATAGCCCAACACTTCGCTGTTGCACCGGTGCTCTGTTTAGCGGCCATACCGACTCCTTCCTCTGCTGGCGTGACCTGTGTTTTAACTTCGCTGTGGAGCTGGTCAGGCAGAACGGTTGGTGATCCCGGGTACCAGGTGCATTCTAGAAGCTTGCCTGGACACATCCACACCTTCTTCCCTTTCGTCTGGGGGATAGTCGTCTCTTCTCCTTCTCTGCCTAGTCTTTCTCCCATACCTTGGCTGACATGAACATTTACTTTCATTCACATTTTTGATATTTATATTGTAATAGTTTTTTATTTGCTTTTAGGTTAAGTTTGGTAATACTACCTTTAAAACAGATGTGTACCTCAAGTCACTCAACCCTCAGTGGAACTCAGAATGGTTTAAATTTGAGGTAAGTTTTTAAACATCAGTTTCATTCGTGTATTTTTTTGAGGTGATCCTTTCCCCCCAGAAATGGTAAGAGTACCTTTTATTTCAGGTATAATAGTTTCTCTACATCATAAAAGTTTTTCTTTGTTTACTTCTTTAGGAATATTGAGCCTTTAAAAAATTCTAATTAAGAAAATACAGTATGTGATACTAGAGAGGAAAAATAGAAGTCAAGTATAATATTACTGTAGTTTTCTTTAAATGGTAGCATACACCAAAAATCACTTAAGAACAGCACATAGATTTAAAGGTTTTTTTGCCATTTGTACCCTTTGGTTAATGTGTTTATAGAAGTTGAAGTGGCCTAGGTATGCTAAAAAATAGAACTTCATATTCAGAAACCTACTGCTAAACTGAAATCCTCAGTTTATACAAAAAGATATGTATCTCATTGCGGAGTCAGAGTATCCATCGGCATTGGCCACTTTTATTTATTATTTCAAAGTGCAATGTGACTGTGTTTCTCAAAGCAATGATCACTAGAGTAACTTCCCTGTCAGTAACTTTTGTCCCAAGGTTTCCAGCCAGATGGGACCGCTAAGGAAAGTAATTTCTGGTTTCCATGAACTCCAGCTCTTTTAAAAACAGTACAGTTTGGCTGCTAAAACTGTGGGCTGGAAACTGGTGAATTATTTTTAACTTCACTTTTGGGATAAACTAGAAAAAAATTGGACATATGTAAATAGACTTTTTTTCCAATAATCCATGTCTGTTCTGATGCCTTTATTGTATTATTTTGATAAATGTAGTTTTGTGGCAAGTTTTGAAATCAGGAAGTGCCTTTAAGTTTCCTTTATGTGTTTAGTTGACTTTTGTTTTGATTTCCTACTTTTCTTTTTTCCTGTGTGTGTGTATAGGCTCTCTTTTTAAGCTGTTCTAAAGTACCTATAAATATTTTAGCCAGGTGTGGTGATACATGCTAATCCCAGCACCTGGGTTCTGAGGCCAGGACTATCGCCATAAGTTTCAGGCCAACATAGTGAATTCAAGGCCAGCCTGCACTGCATAGCAAAGACCCTATCCCAGCAGCCACCCCCTCCAATACCATTATATGTTTTGAAAGATCCATTGTTATATATGTTTTTGGTTTGCTGTGTCATTTTGAACTACATTACTGTATTAAGGTAAAAATATGGACTATAAAAATCAGAGAAAGTGATGATTTTGGATGGAATTCCCAATGTGCATGTGTTGCCCTAGAATAACATGTGAATGCTTACATAATTTTACTTTTTTTTTTTTGTCTTTTTAAGACAGGGTCTCACTATGCAGTTCAGGCTGGCCTTGAGGTCACTTTGTAGTCCATACCAGCCTGAAACTTGCAGTGATCCTCCTGACTCAGCCTCCTGAGTGTTGGGATTACAGGCGTGCACCACCACATGTGGCTTTGCTTAACTTTACTTTGATACCCTCCCCTGAAATGGTTAAAACAAGTTGTCTTCAGTAATTAGAGTGCTGTTAGAATTTGAGGAGGAGGCACACTTCATGTGTTGGAGTAATTTTCATGATGCTGATGTTTTAGAAAATGACATGTAGAGCCAGATATGGTGGCATTAACCTATAATCCCAGCACGCAGGGAGGCTGAGGCAGAAGGATCACAAGTTCCAGCCCAGCCTGAGCAACTTAGAGACTGTGTCTCCAAATAAAAAATCAAAAAGGATTGGGGAATGTAGCTCAGTGTGAAGGCCCTGGATTCATTTTCCAGTACTAGAAAGAAACATTGGCTTTACTGGTGGATGATGCAGTACTGGTAATCTTTATGGCTGAACAGTACTCAAGTAGCTTATTTAAAAATACAAAAAACTAATATATTTATTACTTTTCTGAAGTTAGGATCTTTGTAATGTTACTGAGTTTTAAAAATTAAAGTTACCAGTCATTTGCCTTAAAATTTAGTAGCTTTTGACTAGTGCTCCTAATTATAATGTAAATGGTGTGAAAAATGTGCTTAAATTTTGTTTATGGTTAACATTAATTATAAAGTTCTCTTTTAACCCTGTTTTCAGCTGTAAGTTACATTCATTTCTATGTGTTTGGAACGGTCAAATGTCATATACAGAATAGACATTTGTTTGTCTCTCATGTGAAACAGGTGTTGCACCAAGCAGCGTAAGGGTAGTGTGGTACCTCCATGTAGTTGTTTTGGCCCCAGGGACCCTTCTTTTTGCTTCCTCATCCACACGCAAGATGTCCGTGGCTTCTCTTTAGTGTCTCAGGGTCATGTTAGGTTCTACGTTAGCAGCTGGAGTTCCAGGGATCATGTCTGTTTTCTAGGTCAGCATCCTTTATTCAAGGAGCTAGAATAAAGGGGAAGATAGAGCGACCAGAGAGTTAACATATTTTTTGTTTTTGTTTTTTTGAGATAGGGTCTTGCTATGTAATCCAGGCTGGCCTTGAGCTCACTGTGTAGCCCAGGCTGGCCTCAAACTCATCGCAGTCCCTCCTGCCTCAGCCTCCTGACTGCTGGGATTACAGGCCCACACCACCACGCTTGGCATGGATACACAACGTCCGCTTTTTAGCTGAGCAAGAAAGAGCTCCTTAAGTTTTTCTCTACCCTACTAAACTCTGTGTAATATTTATATCCTTCCAGTTGAAAGCAAGGCGAGGGAGTATAGTCTTTGAGTGAGACATACTGCTATGCAGCTAAAATTTAAACATCTAAAACATTTCTAAGGAAGACTTGGTTGACTAGGTGCCAGATGGAGCCCAGGGCTTCATGCATGCTAGGCATTTGCTCTACCACAGAGCTTCAGCCTTAGCCCTAATTATAGGGACTGTATCTTATCGCTCCACATTTGTGTTTAGGGATGAGTCTGTAAGATTCCTTTTTTAGACATAAGTAATTGTTTTTATTCGCTATATATATATAATGTGTGGTGATTAAGATCTTAAAGCTGTGAGATTTAATGTCAGGCTGTACTTTTAGGTGGATGATGAAGATCTACAAGATGAACCTCTGCAGATCACGGTTCTGGACCATGATACCTACAGCGCAAATGATGCCATTGGTAAAGTGTACATTGATATTGATCCTCTACTGTATAGTGAAGCTGCTACAGTCATCTCGGGATGGTTTCCAATTTATGACACCATACATGGTAAGAAGTGATATTTTAGGAAAGGAAATGATAATCTTAATCTTTTGTTTTTATCCTTAAAGACCTTTGTGCTCTATTTGGTGCTTTTAAAATATGTATCTCTAAAACGTGATCTTCAAAAAGAGATAAGAGAATGCCTGTAAATCCAGCAGTCTGGAAGGCTGAGGCAGAAGGATTCCAAATTCAAGACCAGTCTGGACAACTTTAGAGCTGTTGGGAGATCCTGTCTCAAAAAAAAGAAAAAAAAACAGGGAATGAATTCAAAGTGATGACCAGTTCAACCCCAGTACCTTTACAAGAAACAGTAGTAAAATATTGTGGGTAGAACTGTTATTTCTCTGAACATAAATTAAATCTTCCTGAAGTTTTGTTATATAGGAAGTGAATGCAATTATCTTGAGGGTATAGAGTGTGTACGTTGGTGCTGGAACACATATTTGGCATGTGTGAGGCCCTGGGTCTAATCCTCAGCATTGCAAAAAGAAAAAGTATTGGTACCCTGTTTCTAAAACACATTTTCAAGCTCATAAGCTAATAGTATTGATCTTGTTTTGCTTAAAAATTCTTTAGAGGCTTTTCTTTAGAACAAGGTTCCCAAAGTATGGTCCAACAACATACTTGGTCCCCGCAATGCTCCTGCTGTGTCTGTGAGTTGAGAAGTGTTTTCAGCATAATGTTCATGTCATTCACTTTTTTCTCACTTTCTCACAGGTATACAGTGGTGCTTTCTAGATGTTTTTTGATGTAGGTTATTGTCAGAAGTTGAACACAGCAAATATGGAAACTGTAGACATTGTAGATTTTTGCAAAAATATAATTACCACTCTTTTCACTAAACTTTTATTTTTTTTCCTGGTGCTAGGGATTGAACCTAGGGGCCTTAAGTATGCTAGGCAACTACTGTATCACAGAGCTACATATACAACTTTTTTTTGTTTTTGAAAATAATTATTTTTACAAAAAATCCTATGTTAATTTAAATTTAAATGAAGTAAGTAATTTTCACAAATTGCTATTTTAGATTTTAGTGTGCAAATATCAGTAGATATGAACCATATAAACAAACACTTTGTGAGTTTCTTTATCATCTTTAAGGTCAAAGCGTTCATGTGACAAAAGAGTTTGGGAAGCCCTAGTCTAATGGTATGATGTCTCTGTAGAGTGATGAATGGACCTGTTCACAGCTGACACTTCTCTTTCCAGCCTTGAAATCTTTCTGCAATTTTTTACATTTCTGATCCAGCAATTTAATTGATAGGAACAAATATGCAGTTGTTTATAATAAAGTGAAATGTTTGCCGAGGTTTACATATAAGTATGTTTATTGTGACAGTAATATTCTATTATTATTTATTAACATTCGAAATAATAAAACAAGTTTAAAAACAGGATTTGTTTAAACAAATTAGGGCCTATCTATCTTTTTTCTTTTTTTTTTTGGTACCAGGAATCAAACTCACAGCCTCACGCTTGCCAGGTAGGTGCTATGCCGCTGAGCTATATCCCCAGCCCTGGGCCTATCTATCTATGTGTCTTAAGTTATACAGTCAAAAAAGAACATGTTTTCAGGAAATAGTGAACTAAAGAATGTATGTGATATATTATGAACTGCAAAATTCTTGTTAGGAAACATTATGTGATCTCAAAGATGTTTGGAACCCAACTAATTGCATATTGTTTTAGTATCATTGGAGAAATTGACAGAATACATGATAAAATGTTTATCCTTTTAACCCTGCGTCTGATCTTCTTTCCTCTTCTCCTTTCCTCCTTCCTTTCTCTCCCCTCCTCTCCCGCCTCTTCACCTCTTCCTCTTTTCTATCTTCTAATTTCTTTTTGAGACAGGATCTTGCTATGTAGTTCAAGCTGGCCTTGAACTCACTATGTAGCCCAGGTTGGCCTTGAACTCATTAAGATCCTCCTGCCTCAGCCACCCAAGTGCTAGGATTATAGGCCTGTGCCATTGTGCGCAGCAGTAGTTTTATTTCTGGATTGCAGCTCCATTCTTCTTTGTCCTTTTTTGCTTTTTCCCTTATTTTCTACAAAGCATATGTATTACTTTTGTAATCAAAAATAAAAATCCAACCAGATGTTATGTTACCAGTTTAACAAATTGCTGTGGGACCTGGTGATATGTGCCTATAGTCAGATACTTAGGAGGCTGAAACAGGAGGACTGCTTGAACCTAGGAGTTTAAGGTCAGTGTAGGTAACAGAATAAAACCTGTGTCAAAAATAAGTGAATGATTGAATGAATGAGTGGATGGATAAGTAAATAAAGATGCTGAAGAACTCATCCTGGCATGGATTTAAGGCAATAAATAACTATATGAATGAATTTTGAAACCATTTAATGTTATATGTTACTTATAGTTTGTTTAATATGTGTGTGTGTTCTTTATTAGGAATATAATCTCTTACTATAGTACATAAGTAGATCACTTTTTCTTAGTCTTCCACCCTAAGTATGAATTTGATATGAAGTCAGGGCTGTCCAGTGAAACTGTTTAGTAAAGTTTAGAGGTAAGGGCATGTTCTTTTTTTTTTTTTGGTACGGGGAATTGGACTCAGGACCGCACTTGCCAGGCAGACGCTGTGCTGCTGAGCTATATCCCCAGCCCATAAGGTCATGTTGTAAAACTTACTCTTAAATTTTTAAATTAATTTACACTCATTGAAATGAATAAAACTCTTGCTGATAAGAATCTTGCATTAATTTTTGAAAGTATATAGTCTGTGATCATAAAGATCTGACTTTTAATCTGACTCTGCCATTTGCTAGCTGTTGACACTACATAAAGTATTTGACTTTTATTAAATATTAATTTTTTTCTGTAAAATGGGGGTGATACTGCTACAGAACTTACTTTTTCGGGTCAATGTGACATCTTTTAATACTCGGTAAATGTTACCACCACCACCGTCATCATAAATTTAAGTGGACGTCTTTCCATTTAGTCTTGGCTCGAATAAATGGAGGCTTGTGGTAATACACAACATTACTCATCCTCTTGTGCATCTATGTTCTGCTTCAGGACATGTGGCAAGGAAACTGCTGAGAATGAAAATAATGAAGTTAATACTGTTACGATTGATACATTATTTTAAAGTCATTAATGGCCACTGATTTCCTTTATTATTAAATTGTACATTACTTTTGTAAGGTGGTAACTTGATTTTCCCTTTGATTATATAGGTATCCGTGGAGAAATCAATGTGATTGTTAAAGTAGACCTCTTCAATGATTTGAATAGGTTTAGACAGTCATCGTGTGGAGTCAAATTCTTTTGTAGTAAGTAAATACACTGTCTTATTTAACAGGAAATTTAACAATTTTTAAATATAGAAAAATCAAACTGATATTTCAAAAGGCTAAGAGAAGAGGTGTTGTATTTTGGTTTTAATGCCAAAGAGAAAATTTTAAATTTTCCAATAATAATTCTTGTAGCTCTGTGGCTATTTGATTTGAGAATAAATAGTATCTAGTTTTACAAGTACAGGGAATTTAGGTGAGAAAATTTCAGGGAGCCACATGTGTGGTACATGCCTGATGTCACAGCCCTCTGGAGACTGAGGCAGGAGGATTGTAAATTTGAGCCCACTCTGGGCAACTTAGAAACTTAGTGAGATCATGTCACAAAAAAGGGCTTAGCTGGGGTGGGGGGAAGGAGAAGTAAAAAGGATCGAGATGCCATGTGTGTATGTATCAATTCCCCACAATCAATGCAGTTACTTCATACGGCAAAAATAGACTGCTAAAAACATTGAAGGAAAAAATCAGCTGGGGATGTAGTTCAGCACCTGAAAAAGAAAAAAAAAAGAAATCTCGTGATACTTTGCTATAGTATAGGATCCTACAGCATACGAGCAGAATGCTGGCCCCAGCACTATGGTGCTAACGCGTGTTACACAGGCTTCTGCAGGTATGAAGATCGAAGAACTGCGTGATATGTACGGGTGTGAATTGGGCATGGTCAGGACAGCTCATGGTTGAGAAACCCTAGGTGTCTGAGCTAGTTTCAGTTGTCTGTGTTAGAGAGTAGTTTGGTGTAGATGTTCCCATGTTGTACCCTCTTTGAATCTGACCAGATATTATTTAAATAATGATAATTTGATTTCAGTGAGTCTTATATGACCACATACTAAATGAGACTGGAATCTCCACTGACTGCAGGGTCAGTTGGGTCTGTGACTGTGGCTTATTAAACCTGTAGTGCTGTGTTCCCTGGTTTATGTCAGAACGGTAATGATTTGATATTTGTGGTTTGTGTACCACAGACGTGACGTATAGAACTTTTGTGAAGAGCTTTGAATAATTGAAGATTTAAAAAAAATTCATTATCTATTTTCTTAATTCTTTTTATGTCCTCTTCTCTGCCCACCTCCCCATTTCGTGGTCCCCTTCCCAGTTGCAAAAGATCTATCTCTGTGTTTGTTATTGTCCATCTTTTATTTTGCTCTTTATTTATATGTTGGGCTTCTCATATAAGAGAAGCCATGCTAATTAAGTTTTTGTGTCTGATTTATTTCACTTAACATTATGGACTCAAGTCCATAATGACTCAAATTTATCTGTCTTTATAGCAGAGTAGTACTCCATTGTGTATAAATACCACATTTTCTTTACCCATTTTTTCAAGATTTAGCTATTATGAATTGGGCTGCATGTATCCCTGTAGTATGATATTTTTAAACTCTCAAGAAGATACTTATGGGGAAGTAGCTGGTTGAATGGAATTTCTATTTTTAGTTTTTTGATGAATAATGGTTGTAGTAGTTTAAATTCCCAACAATGTAGAAGGCTTCCTTTTTCCCTATCAGCCTCTTCAGCATTTTTTAGCTGGTGAATAAAATATAAAAGAATGTGTAGATTTATGTGATAGCTTGAATAATTTTGAGTTTTTGAAGTTTGTATTTATGTAAGATCCATACCTGTTTTCTAAGTTATAAAAATTTATACTTCCATGACAAAAGTGAGAGCCCGCATCCAAAAAATAATTATTTCTAAGCATCAAATGGATATTAGATGATTATATGATTGGAAGTGTTATAATTACACTGAGACTGTCATAATAAAAAGTGTTCGTTATATAGCCAAAAGGTAAGACCTTAAATGTGCATTTTTAAAAATTGGAACTTAACCTTGTCATAAACAGAAGTGTAATAGATAATTTACTTTAACAGCAACATCTATTCCAAAGTGCTACAGAGCTGTAATAATTCATGGATTTGTAGAAGAACTAGTGGTCAATGAAGACCCAGAGTATCAATGGATTGATCGAATTCGTACACCAAGGGCATCAAATGAGGCCAGACAGAGACTCATTTCTTTAATGTCAGGTACTTAAATAAAATAACTTCATTAATGATTGACAACATTCTTACATTTTTCACTTTCCTTTGAAAAGCTTCGTGGAATTTCAGGATGAAACCTATGAATTATAAGTGACTGACTCCTTACCCCTGGCCCAATCCTGGTGGACACTGTTAATGGGTGGAAATCTATAGCAAACACTTGTGCTCCCTTCCTGCCCAAGCAACAAAAGGAAATTATGTTCATGAAATAACTGGATTCTTGTTTTCCTAGCATTGATTTGTAGTCTGAACTTTGACGAATCACTTCTCTTTCTGATAATCTCTGTTCAAAGGTTATCTTTTCGTAGTTCTTTCCTGAAAATTTACTTGTATCCCTCCCTCTACCCTTGCTAACCATTTTCCTGCTAGCCCATTACATCTACCCATTACATTTACCCATTACATCTATTTGCCTGTTACCCTATTAAATTTCCTTAGTCTTTGGACAACTCATGCACCACCTAAAATTTGTATTTATTTGTATACCTGTGTGACAATATCTTCACATATGATGCACAAGTGTAATGTTATATTTAATAGATGTGTATCTGTTGTCCATATTTACTGTTATATAATCTGTACCTATATAATATATAGCATATGATAATAGATTTATGTTCTATATTCTGTATCTTTTATACTTTCAGGATACATAATACATATATTTACTTTCTTAGTGTCATTTTGTCCCACCAATCTATCAACGCCACACAGTTTGAGCTTTATCTTTCTCATTTACCTGTGTCTGCGGCAGTTAGAAGAAGGGAAGAGGGGCTGGGGATTAACTGTGATGGAGCGCTTGCTGAGCATGCATGAGGCCGTGGGTTTCATCCACAGCACTGGGAAAAATCAGAAGGGAAGAGTTCCAGCACATAGTACAGAAGCAAAACGTATCTGGTACCTGAAGCGCATGCATGAGTGGACCTTACTTGTCGCACCCACCTATAAATATAGCTCATGAATCCTGTCTCTCTGAAAGAAGGCAACTGGACAGATAATCTTTTCAGTTTCCCTCAAGTTCTAAAAATCTGTGATTTTTAAGCATGTTTTCTGTCACGATTGTATAGAATGTCATGTAGAGATGTGAAGCAAAGAATGAATTTTCTTTATTTCTTATAGGTGAACTGCAGAGGAAGATTGGCTTGAAAGTACTTGAAATGAGAGGAAATGCAGTTGTCGGGTACTTACAGTGCTTTGATCTGGAGGGAGAGTCGGGGTTAGTGGTACGAGCCATAGGAACAGCGTGTACTCTGGATAAATTAAGTAGCCCAGCAGCATTCCTTCCTGCATGTAATTCCCCATCCAAAGAAATGAAGGAGTAAGTATGCATCAGTGACGGGGTTCTTACGGAGATTGTTATCTTACCTGTGTGTTTTTAGTTGATTTACACATTTTGGTAGTGTTTTTTGACATACATTTTTTCCTGCTATGATTTTTCTTCTAAGATACGACGTCCAAAATTTAAAATTTAAGGATATTTCGATATTTGTAATGTTTTATTTATACTCTGATTATGAAATGCAAATTCAATAATGTGAAATTAAACTATTTCAGATCCTCACACATTATATATCTAAAGCATTGAATGAATATTCATGCACTATGTGGAATTATACTTATTTTCTAGGGAATGATTAAAACCCTCTGTGATAATCCAGTTGTGTTTACTCTTGGCTCTGTAGTATAGAGAAGAGCAGGAATTGACATTATACAGGAGTCTCAGCCTCAAATGTATACAGAAGCTATGCAGCTTACAAAAGTAGTATAGTTAAATAGGAATACTGGGATCTGAAAAGCTGAGGTGGGCAAGTTTTTCTTTTCCTGTCTCTCTCCCTCCTTTTTTCCCTCTTCTCTTTTCCTCTCTGCCTCACTCCTTCACTTGTTCCTTCTTTCCTCTTCTTTTCTCCCTTTCTTCTTCTTTTTTTTTGAGATAGGCCTCAAACTCTTGGGCTCAAGCATTCCTCCTACCTCAGCCTTCCAAGGTGTCAGGGTTATAGCTGCACACCACTGCACCTGGCTCAGTGAACTTTTCTTCAAAAGGCCAGATAGTAAATATTTCAGGCGCTAGTCATACCAGCTCTGTCCTTGCAAAACAAAACACATCAAAATAAAAGTTTGATGATCTTTTAATAGAAAATGAGCATACACTGCAAAACCCACACATTAAAAAAAACTGGTACAGCAAAGCACTTTCTTTGGTTGCTTTTCCTCTGTATGTCATCATTTGTGTCAGAAGCAGATATTCTCAGCATATTGATGATAGTACAGGTTGAATATCTAGTGTGAAAGCTTAAAATCTGAAACTTTGAGTGCTGATACTCAAAGCCTTTGGATTTCAGAGCATTTGGATTTTGAATTTAGATTAGGAATATTCAACTGGTAAAGTCTATGTAAATATTTCAAAATGTGGAAAAATTCTGAAAAATTTTGATTTAAAGCATTTTGCATATGTGTTAGTCTGTATTGTCAACACAGAGTATGTGAAATAAGATCTTTCTGCCACAATGATTCGGTGAAGTCATGTTGGTGACCGCAGATGTGTACTAACCTGTGCAGCGAGGAGCAGCTCTGTACAGTGACATCTTCCTCCTCTGTAAATGGCATTCGTGCTTCATTGAGGTCCACTGATCTAGACGTGTGTGCAGTTAGACGCTTGACCAGCATTTTCTGTAAATGACCAGACAGGACAGATAAATAATTTAGCTTTTACTGATGCTGGTGTGTAGCTCTGCCATTGTAGTGCAGTAGCAGACAGAGACAGTGTGCAAACTAAGGAGTGTCGCTGTGTTCCAGTAAAACTTTATTTACAAAAAAGATGGCAGCAGGATTGGCCTTTAGGCTGTAGTTTGCTGACTGCTGTACTAGATCATTAGAGAGTCAGATAAGTATTCTAGGAGTATAGAACATTTCCCAATTAAGCAATAGTCAGGAGAATAGAAAACAATTGCAGCCATTAATTTGTTTATAATCTTTTTTTAAAATTTGATTTTTTTTTACATTAAGCATATTCTTTTTCTTTAACCATTTCCTTTCTGCTTGCTTTCAGTCATTTGGGTTAAATTTTATCCATGAGGGGGAGCACGTTATTGCACATTGCCTGATTTTATTTGGAAACACATTGATGAGAAATACTTCTTTTAAATAAATTGAGTGAATTGCCTTATGTTCCATTTAAAATATGTCCTGGAAAAATATGAACTGCCACCCACTTCAGGTAGAGTCAGATTGCAGGGGTAACTTTTTGAGGGAATTATATTTTCCTGTGTACTCCTTACGTAGCACATTTAAGTAAAGAAAGACCTGCTGTCTGTACTTGCCACCCTCTAGCTTTACCTCCACTGCCTGAAAGGGCCTGGCTTTTGTAGCTGAGGTGTCTGAAGTTCTCTTTCCTTTAGGTTATTAGTGGAATGATAAAGCTGTGTATTTCCTATTGGTGTCTTAGAATAAGATCTGAATAGCTTGGGTACGTTTCACATGCATTCACATTAATGTAAACCATTTGTGTGTTTTCTCCTTTTTTAATCTTGTCAAAGCCATTTCATTAAATTGTCAGACATTCACAGAGCTAAGAATTGAAGTTGCTTTATTATGATTTCCTGAATGACATCTTAATACCTAGGTCTCATTGGTTAGTGCTCAGGCTGATTTATTTCAACTAGCTTTGTTGTGCTTTTGATAGTGAAGTAATTTGGATGCTACTTCAAAATTTAGTATATGCTTTTGATGGTTCATTATTGTAGCATTTAATTATAATATTTTTGAGTTTTAGATAAATTTGATAAAAGGTAGTGTAGATTAGATTTAATAGATTACCTAAATGAATTATATATTAGATTGGATGCAATCGATTTAATATTAGAAATACCACAATGGTATTATTATGAGGCAATCTTTCAGAAGACTGATAGATTATGGCAATATTTCAGTGTATTTTGGTTTTTAATTTAGTGTCATAATTTGAACATTTTGCAGTTTTCATTTTATTTGACTTAATGACTTATAAAGTTATACTTTATAAGTTTGTTTTTTCCTTTGAGATGTTTAGTGTAATACACAATATACATTTCTGGTGTTTCCTATCTGAACTCTGTTGGTGGTAGAGAGTATGTTAAGTATGGTACATCGCTTCTCTACTTACAAATGTTTTTAAAGAGATGTTAGCCCTAATTTTTCCTATGTACAACACTGATTCTGAGATGTCTTAGTGGTAAACTTTTTTGCTTTAGTATATGTGCTGCTGAACAGAGCACAGACTTTTCCTTGCTTTAGCAGAGACATAAATAAAACCTCACTCAGTTGTTTATATAAAAATAGGAAACCAATAAAATATTTAATTTTTATCAGTTATACCTTACATATTTTAAGTTTATATTATCAATAAAAGCAGAAATATTTGTCCTGTTGTAAATCTGTAACATTGTCAGAAAGTTGTATGGAGATCCTAGCAAAACCTTTGTGGCCAGTTTGTGACAACTCATGTTTGAGTCTTGCCGGATTGATTGGTGGGAACGGGCCCTATGCAGTCAGTAGTACAGCAATGAAAAAGGAGCAAAAAGGCCAGGAAAAGTGAGCTCCAAGGCTGATCTTTAATTTGGTGATATCGTAGTTTACTCACATCTGTTTTTTTCTCTGCATTGTACGTAAACAAAGACATTGTACAGTGAACTAATTGCTAAAATGAAGCTTAGGATTCTTATTTATGGAATATACTGTTACCTATAGAAAAATATAATTAATATAATCCAAATGTAGAATCTTAAATATAAAAAAAATCTTAAATATAAAAAATATAATCTATCAGCTATTCATATCTCATTTTCAAAGGTAATATGAGAATTTTATATTTGACTTTTCACCTATATGGGTGTTTTTCTCCATAACTACTATACAGTAAGTTCTGTTTTCATGAAAATAATAACAAATACGGTAAAGCAGTTTAGAATCCAGATCTTAATATTTTTTCTCACTTAATTCCATGGACTATTCTGCTTGCTGTTTTTTTATTCACAGTCCTAATTTATTAATCCGATTCTTTAAAATGATAACTGTTTTAACAAATTAATATTTAACTGTGCTCGATTTCAACTTATGTTTTGCATGCTAGGGTTTAAAAAAAAGTTCTCTCCCTTAACTAAAGCTCCTTGGAAATGACGTTAACATAACCTTGCGATCTGTTGTGTGTATTGTTTTCTTTTCTTCCGCTGTGACCACAAATCCCCTCAGGTCTCCGCTGGTTCATCCTCCAAGCCATGGATGCCGCTCGACCCACAACAGCCCAATTCACACTGCTCCTGGCTCACGACTTACTCAGAACTTCTCTGTGTCTGTTCCCACTCTCATCTACACTGGTACGAGACCGCTCAGACTCCAGAGCTGGGGAGAGGCAGGCCACGGGCAGAGTGGTCGCAGAGGCAGGCAGGCAGGTAGCGTAGGCAGGTACCACCAGTCTCTGCTTCTTCCTTTTCTTGCTTCAAGTCCAGTTGCAGTGAAGAACTTCTGTATTTAGCCACCACAGAGGCTCAAACTGTCTGGAAGTGAAATTATTTTCCCCACTTCCAAAGTCTCTTCCACAGATCCTCTCAGAACCCTATCTGATATATTGTGGATGGTAAGTTTGGAGGAGACTCCATCAATATGTGTTTGTGATGATTTCTGCATTTGTATAGAAATGAATTGACAATAAGATGCTACATGAAATAGGCACCACGGCTTCCAATTTGCTCATTTTCTTTATGTACAAAACCTGTTACAGTAGGGTCTGTTTCAGTCTGTGGAAGAGAGCTGTTGGAAAACAGGTAAGCAACTGTTTTGCATTCAATGCAGTGTTTCTGTGTAGCTATGTTCATTTTCCTCTTTGCTGTGCTTTTAGCTGTGGCACTCTTGATGCTGTAGGATAAGGAAACATTTTTTTCTTTAAAGATAGCTGTGTGTGTGTGCAAATACAAACACAGTTATGACTATTTTCACACACATCTGTGGCCATCATTTTTCCTTTTGTAACTTATAAACATTATTTAAAATATTTTGTCATATATTTACTTTTCATTTGTTTCTCTTTTTAATATATTTTATTCTCTTAGTCTATCATTTCATGCTTTTTTGCTTTCCACTTGGCTTATTAACTGTTTCAATGCAGATAATATTTATCTGGAAAATGATGAATGGTTAAACAGCAATTGGTTGTCTTTGGCCTCATTCCCAGCTCCACACTTAAGAAATGACTGCTGGCCCTGCCCCAATACTTTCCTGGTGTTTGGATCATGCTGCCAACTGTCAAGCCCTTTGGCACATGATTACTTAATATTTTTCCACCTTCTTCTGGCAGGATTCCCTTCAATGAAGATCCCAATCCCAATACTCACTCATCAGGACCCTCAACCCCTCTGAAAAACCAAACTTATTCCTTTTCACCTTCCAAGTCCTACAGTCGACAGTCCTCTTCTTCTGACACAGATTTGAGTTTGACACCCAAAACTGGTAAGGCGCTTCCACCCACCTTTTGTTTTTTATTTTTGTTTCTTTTTAGCCTTCCACCCAAATCTTTCCTCCTGTTTTTGACTTTTAAAATAAAAGACAATGCAAGTAGTGATCATTTTCAGTTGCAACAGCTAAAATATGAAAGTTGCTTATAGTTCAGACATTAGAGATGAGTGTTTTGTTAGCTTAATCACAGTGGTAGGTGTCAAATCCAGTATTTATTTTTATGTTGAGACATTTTTCATTTCATGCTCAAATTGAGGAATAACATCTTAAAGCATGTGAATAGAAAGTAACACCAACAACTTGGAATTAAATTCTTCTTGAAGGGTAATAAACAGTTTTTAATTCATTGTTTGTGCCCATTTTTGGATTTAATTCTAGAATTTTATCATAAAAACAGTCTCAAAACTGCAATGCTTATGCTTGAGTATCTCTTCATCTTTTGTTACAGTATATAAAACATTTGGTATTACAAATCTTATTCTCGAGGTTATCTTGAATATTTCTTCAATTTATTACATTTATAACTTTTTCACACTCCCGTTTGCATTTTTATGAATAGTCTTTCTGGGCTCTTAGAAGTGTGTTCTATAGTAAAAGTTGGTAAAAATTAGTTTCTTATTTCCTAAAATAGAGTTAACTTATTTAAATTGTTAAATTAATTTTAGGAAAAATTAAAAAGAAATTTAGAAATTTAAAAGACTGATTTATAATTTTTGTAAATAGTATTTTGTTAGGCACTCCCCATCAGATTGATTAAAACATAGTTCTTATTTATCAGGTTAATAATATCCCTTAGTTATTGTGGGCTGATCATATCTGCAATCTCCCTAACGAATGTACTGTAAAGGCTAAAAAAAGAGGCAAATGGAATGATTTCGGGGCTCTAGGAGGAACAAAACTCTCACAGAATTCAGGATTCTCTCAGGTCTAAGACCAAGACCTTCTCTGGGTTGCCCATATTTATTAGTTATCAGAAGAAGGGAGGAGAGTATCAAGAAGGGCGGAACCTCTCAAGGACTTCTCCAGGTAGGGTATTATGTTAATCCACCCAGGAGTGAGTTGCCCGTGGCTACAGTCTTTATCTAGTTGAGGTTGGATCCAGGTGTCCTTGGCTGTGATCTTGTCTTATCCTTTGAGGCTTTCTGGCTTCATCTGCCATTATAGTAGGGATCAGTGACTCACAGAGGTTCACTTACTATGAATCCACCACCCATCTCCAGATAAGGAGCCTAGACCTTGGACAGATTCACAAGTAAACATGAAAAGCCCATTGGTTGACTTAAGTCCTGCTCAGGGCTGCTTCATAGTAGTCTTACTTGTGTTTTAATTTGTCATGTTTAATAACCTTATTTTTGTGTCAGAAAAGACATTTTTAAAATGATCCCAGATTTTGTAAAAACAATGAAAAAAATCCGATTCTAAATCAGGACTGTTTCTTGAGGAAGGGCCATAAGAAAAGGCCATCCACTTAATTTCTTTTTTTTTATAAATATAAATAAATGTTTTTAAACATATTTATGCTATAAAAATTAAACCATTCAAATTAAGGTAAAATTTTTTCAAAATAAAAAATGAGGAATTTTGTTCTTAATATTTCTGACAGTCAGAGCAAGAAAGACTTGGGGTAATAATTGGAGAATAAATTTTCTCAAAAAATATTTTTGAGGTGTTGGTCCACTAACTACAATTCCAGGCCACTGTCATACTCTCTTAGCTTTTTTTTTTTTCTGTCACGTCACAGGTAGTTTTGAAAATATTTCCTTGGTCTCTCCCTTTTTTTCTTTGCTTTTTGTTTATTTTTTCTTCTTTCTGTTTTTGTGTCCCTCCCGCCCTCCTTCCTCCCGCTGGCAGTAGTAGGGAATTGAACCCAGGGCCTTCACAGCGAACTGTATTCACAGCCCTTTATTTTATTACTTTGTTTTTAAATTTGAGACAGGGTCTGTCTAAGTTATCCAGGCTGGGCTACTACCTGTGATCCTCTTGCTTCAGCCTCCTAGAGTGCTGGGATTACAGGTGTGCAACACCTTACATGGGTCTTTTTCTTTAATTTTTTTTTAAAAATGCCAAGCATAAAGAAGTTTGTCAAGTAATAAAGTAAATCAGACTTCTCTTCCCTTAGCTTACTGATTAGCAGTCAATTGCATTAGCAGTGAAAACTTGTGTTATTAGTTATTAAAAACTCATTTACAAACATTCTCATAAAAATATTCTGATGTATTTATTTATAAGCCACCTCCAAATACATTATTTTGTTTACCTATAATTATTCACTGCCTCAGTAATTTATAGAACATTAGCCCGTTTTAGTCTCTTGACCTTTACATGAATCTTAAGATATTTTTGAATAGTTCTGAAGAGCACTTTTACTTTTCATAGAGATGTAAGACGGCGAAGTTAGAATTGTTCTTAAATTTCTAAAATTATAATTCAGAATGTGCATCAGGATTCTCTGCTTTCTGACATACATGTTTACTAAGTTAGCATATCGGGAAATAGTGAGGAAGGAAATAAACTGATTATAGTTGATTTATTATTTATAAAGTAGGAAGCTAAAATAGAACCAAGGTAATAGATTGTAGAGTGAGAAAGTTCTTTTTTCTGGTTATAGTTAGTGCTGTTGTCTCTTTCTTACTGGTCTCCTCTTTTTAAAAATTCCTGTTTTTGTAGATTCTAATTTTTGACATTTTTATGAGATTTTATATTTTTCCCAAGAACTCAAGTAGTAGTAGAATTTTTGAATGTTAGTATCAAAATACTCATGTCACACCAATTAGATCTATATTTGACTTTTTTAGTCAGGCTCTTTACTGTGTATAGTTTTTCCTCATGCAGGAGATATTTGACCCTGAGGGTGTGCAAATCTCTGTAAATGTTAATAATGCTATGATCAAAGTGTAGAAAGTTTTAGAGGAAAAAGAAAATATTCACATCTCAAAGCTGAAGAGAGAGAAGTTAATATTTACTTTAATAATAGTAATTTCTACCTAATGTAATACTCAGTATTTGATCTTTTTTTGTTTGTTTTTGTTTTTTTTCCTATACTGGAAATCGAACTCACGACCTCGCGCTTGCCAGGCAGGCGCTGTGCCGCTGAGCTAAATCCCCAGCCCCCAGTATTTGATCTTTTAAAATGAGTATTCAGCTAAAACACCGAGGCGTATATATCTTTTAACCAGTAAAATATGAAGATGTTGTATTTTACCATTTTACATGAGTGTTTGTATTATATTTGAGACAAGTTTCTGGCTTTAACACTTGGAAAGTGTGGTATATTTCAACCTCATGATTTTTTAAGAAAGTGGAGGTAATTTAAATATTTTGAAGTCAGTTAATAAGTGCTCAACATAGCATGAAGTCCTAAGGTAGTGATTTAAAACTTTTAATGTAGAATTTGAAAAGGTTTTTGTTAAGCTGTGCCTTCATGTGCATTATGTTGGGTAGATGGTTTTGCTAGTGACTCTATTTGCTTAGCATTATCTGTGTGTACCTTTGAAAAATCATTCTCACTGTTATATTTTGCTTCATCATTGCTTTCCTTATCCTGCATTTTGTGACCGCCTTCTGAATCTGCATCTCTTCTCTGCTGATTTCCTCCACAGCACCTTGCCCACAGGGACCTAGGATTTACTTGTGTCCCAGCTCCCCCCCTCTCTCTTGTGGTTCCCTTCATCTTAAAAAGTCCTGTCTCCTCCTCTCGGAACCTAGCCTCCCCCCTCATCAGTCTAGCCTTGGCAGCCCAGTTCTGAGGAAAAGTGTTTCTTTCAGTGAAGAGCTGTTCCTGGCAGCTTCTGGTAGGATCACCTTATGTCAGCTTTTTAACCCCTTAATTTTAAATCATCTTTAAAAAAAGTATTTCCTACTAAAACTATTGCTTGTTTTCTATTAAATTTCTAATTGGTAGGAAGTGTTAAACAGAATTAAAAGGATATTGTAGAGAACTACATGATTGATAATTATGAGTATTTAGTAAATTATGCCTGTAAAATTATATGTCTAAAGGACATAAGTGTGGATAGTTAAAACAGTTACTGAAGTTCTTATTTACTATCATTTCTGTTTTAGGTGCTTTACTTTCTTTCCCTTCATACCAATTCCATTTACATTGGACCTGTACCATCTTTTTGCTAAATCATATGGTTAACATTTAGTAAATTACTCTGTTTGAATCAGTTTAAGTCTCATTTTGGTGCTATTCTTTCATTATCCTTTTTTTTCTGTCTACTGCATTAATTACTCAAATTATTCTGCTATATTTTCTGATATTTTACTTATCACTGCAAATTTACACTTTATTTTGTGGCTTTTAAAATGCTTCATATAAAGAACTTAGTTTTATTTCTGTTTAGCATTGTGTAGTCTCTAAAAATAATGTTTAGGTAACCATAGGAAAAATAAATTTGTTTTGCTTTTCAAGAATGGAATGGGACTATACACATGCTAAGCTTTGTTTCCTTATCCGAGAACAGCTAAAAATGTAAAATTAAATTAGTTCCTTTTTAAGTGATTGCACCAAATTTGACTGTATGCGTTTTCAGTTTCAAAAGATGGAATTGATTCTAGTCTGTAGAGCATTAGCCTCGCGCCCACTCCATTTTCTGTAGTTCTTGGACCCTGGTTGGTCTAGTGGTACTGTCAAAACAGTAAAATAAGGTAGGAGAAGAAATTTAAAATTATACCGTAATAAGTACATCTGAGAGTTTGGAGAGTATAATTCTTTCATCCATAACTATGTACATTTGTGATGTGTCTGTTACATGTCTGTGAATTTTGCTTTTCATTCAAAAAATTTATGTTGATTTTTAGAATGCACATTGAAAACCTATAAAATTAATGCTGTTTTGGCATATGTTTAGAAATGAGAAGTTATCAGAACGTAAATTTACTGTCATGGAAAATTACCTAAATATCATGTACTTTAGAGAATTTGGGGATTTTTTAAGTGAACGCAGTTAGTGCTTTTTATCTTTCTGTTTGCTTTTCATTCAACATTGAATTTTTCTCTATTCTAGTGTTTTTAATTTGTTAAAATAGTAATAGTTATTTTAATTTTTATTAGAAGACTCAACTTTTAAAGGTGGAATATTATACAAAGCTTCATCCTCTCAGCATAACTTCTCTTGTAATTCTGAAGAACAAATTGAGTGTAGAACTAGCTGTCATCAGAACTTTGACATCTTCTATGGAGAAGTTTGTTGCTCTATTAAATAAGTACTTTAGTTACCATCTGAAATGCTTAATGTGTGAGTTACTGTATCATATTTTGACTCATGGTTATTTGTGAAGATGAATACAGTTAAACTTTGTTTCTATAGTGGGTTTTGTTTTGTTTTGTTCTTTATGTTCCACTGCTCTCTAGGAATGGGAAGCGGTAGTGCTGGGAAAGAAGGAGGGCCATTTAAAGCTCTTTTAAGACAGCAGACTCAGTCCGCATTGGAGCAGAGGGTAAGAGTCACTCGATAATCTTTGTTTTCATGGTAACTATGGTTTTATTATCTGATGCTTCTGTGTACTTTCTTTCATAAGCTGTTTTTGGTCATATCTGTGTTACTGCAATTTTGAACCCCAAATATATTTAACATACCAGGGTCATTTGTTTATGAATATTTACATTTGGTTTGGAATTATTTGGTAACTATTTTTGTTTTGCCCTCTAATCTTTTATTAGAAATATTTTTTGGAATTATCCATTGAACATGTCTAATGTTTCCATTATAGTTACAATGTAGAAAAGGAAATGGCTGTTTCTGCAGAAAAAGTATTCTAGTAGCATTTTATTAAAAATAATTCTTTGTCATATTAATATATTTATTTGCCAAGATTATTTTTATCACTGAGTAATTCTTAGAAATAAGAAATGTATATATTCTATATTTCTACAGATTAGTATAAATAATATAGTTCTGTTTTAATTATTATATTTAATATTTAGTTACATTTGTTGAGTGGGAAAATGAATAGTTATAGTTTTGGGATGATTTTTCTCTCTCTTTCTCTTTCTCTTTTTATAAACTTCATTGCTAAGGGAGGATCACCTCATAGGTTCTGTAAAAGGCGGGTATGTTTCTGAACATGTGTGAGAGCCTATTTCTTGTAGTAGAAGCTTTTCTAGTTTTAATCTTGGTCGTTTACTTTCATTTAAGCTTTTAACAAATGTTGCCAGCTTTTTTTCTTTTCATATTGCACATTTTTCTTTAAATTTAATAGTACCGTGAGGTTCATTCATGTTCTTTTTTTTTCTTCTGCTAATACAGTGCATGATTTTATGTGCCATGTCAGTTATTTTAAGATACACAGTTCCATAGCTTTCAGTATGTCTGATTTGGAAGCTATAAGCATTTACAGAATTTTCTTTTGTTTCATATTACACCAGCATTTGGAAGAAAAAAAGGTGAAACACAGTAAACACCTATAAAAGAATGTATTTCATAAAATAAAGGTATTTCTTTTCTAGAGTTTGGTTCTTGGCAGTAGTTTTCTTCAGATTCTATTAGAAATCGTACAGTTTTTCCTACACATTTTGCTTCCACTGAAAGTGTCCATGTATACACTCTGCATTTTAGAAACGCTGAAGAGAGCCAGGTTGAAGTAAGCGGAGTAATGAGCTGTTTGTGTGCTAGCCTGTTCAGCAAGTTACTTTTTAGCTATTCTCACATCTTGCAGGCATACCAGCTACTGCCACCCCCAGGCCCACCTAAACTTTAGGTCATCTGTTCAAAGCGAATGTAGCGAAAGACTAAAGACGTGGGAGAGAGGAGGTCAGAGTGAAGATATATGTTCACTGACAATTATTTTACACTAGAAAATTCATATCTCTGCTCCCTCCTGTTTTTATGTTCTCTACAGTGTCCCTTACACTAGGAATATGATTTCTTGTAACCTAATTACTATCATAGCATTTGCATCAGCAGAAAAGTTTTGCCTTAAAATTGGATGTAATGAGGTTTTGCCTATATGATGTAATTTTACTGTCTGTACTACTAGACAATCTTCATGGAATAAAAAGCAAAGACAACTGTAGTTTTCATTTATGGTTTTGTAAAACCTAAGTTTGTAACTGCTGTGGCAGTGCACTATATCATCTCCCCATGCAGCAGCAGTTACTTAAGTTTAAGAGATTACTTTATGATTCTGTTCATAATAAATAACACAAGCATTATTATTTCTGGGTCTCCCATTCACCTGTGGCTGCCATTAGAGTGGCTTTTGTTTTGGGAAAAGCCGGTACAGAAGTATGACAAATTCTCCCCGTATGTGTTCAGAGATGCCTTAATTCTGCCAATTGATCATGTCATCAAGATCTACATATATATATATATTTTTTTGGTACCAGGAATCGAACTCAGGACCTTGTGCTTGCCATGCAGGCGCTTGTGCCACTGAGCTGTATTCTTGGCCCCAGAGATGTACTTATACTTTTTTTTTTTTTCACTTACATATTTTTAAAATATAGTACTTCTGTCCTTTGCTAAATCACCCTTGATAAATCCTACAGATTGTTTTTTCCCTAGAGCAAAGACAAACTTTAATTGTCCAACTTCTTAACGGGTTACTCAAGAACACATTAGCAGTTCGCAAAGGTAAAGTTATTCTTTTTACTCACAAGAAGATTAAGAAGTTGACAAGATGCTGACAGCATGTTATTGGGAGATGTTGATCACCGATTATTGGAAGATGAGATACAGAAGTAAAGGTTTTACTTAGTTTCAAGTTCAGAAAAGAAAAATGAAGTTACCTTTGAGTTTCTCAAGTGTATTTTTTTCTTCAGTAAAGAGAACTAGTTAACTAGCCAACCATTGTGGTGCACACCTGTAATCCCAGCAGTTTCAGGCTGTGAGACAGGAGGGTTGCTGTGAGTTTGAGGCCATTCTCAACTACATAGTGAGTTCAAGGCCAGCATAAGCCGCAAGACCTTGTCTCCAAAAAAAAAAAAAAAAAAGATTCCTAGTTAATTTAGTCTAGTATTTCCATCAAAGAATTTTTACTATAGAACCTTCCTTTTAAAAAAACTTAGTCATAGGAATATAGTTGGGAATGCATTGAAATTAAAGCAAACTTGTGATGAATTGTGATCTTTTTAGAAGTAAGGTCAGTTGTACGGTAAGTGATGGTTGGAATCTGTCAGTGGTGCTGGTGGGTTGAACCAGGGGCTACCACATGTTAGGTAAGCACTCTATCATTGAGCTTCATCCCGATATAAATTTGGAAGTGGAGTCTCCCTGAGGTGTCCACGCTGGCCTTGAACTTGGCAGTCTTCATGCCTCGGCCTCTAGAGTAGCTGAGATGATGAGTATATGCCTCTGGAGTTTTATATCTAGAAAGTTTACTCTCGTCTCTTGGGATAATAAGAGTTTTTGATTTAAAAAACCATTTGCATATCTTTTGGTAAATTCTTAAATACTCTTTTGAAAATACTACTTCCATTATGTTCTATTGATTTTTCAACTACTGTGGCTTTAAGCACATGCCATTAAATATTTATATGCTTCATGCGTCTGGTTTATGTCATAGCATCAGCAAGTGAAGTCCATCTGTGGACACGGGGAAAGATACATTTTGGTTTTTTTTGAGACAGGGTCTTGCCATGTAGCTCAGGCTGGTCTTGAACTCACGGCAGTCTGCTTGTTTTAGCCTTCTGAATGCTGGGATTACAAGAGTATGCCACCACACCCCGCCAAAAGATACTTTAATTATAAGGCCTTTCTGGAGAAAATGTCTTCTGTAGTTCTAAAATTCACATCTAGACTTTGAACCTGAGATGCGCCTGGGCTGATCTTAAAGAAGCTTGCCTTTTCCATGGAAAAAAATCTATTAAGTCATCAGATATAATAAAAAGATTGTAAATTAAAATAAAATTTTAATATTTTAATGAGAATTAACAAGGGAGTCAGACGATAAGATTTGTTGCTCAAACTAAGCCTGGGAATAAAAGGAGCCCTTGACTTCAATTTTTCATCTGAAACATGGAGATGATAGTACTCTCTCTGAGGGCGTGGGAAAGCCCACATGGCGCCGTTCTGAAATACCTTCCACTGAGTGCGTGGCAGGATCCCTGGTTGTGGTGGTGGAGATGACAGGTCCTTGCCAGTCTGCTGTCCATTCCAGCAGTTGTTCTTCTAGTTAGAAAATAGTTTGAAGATGGGATTTTGATTAAGTAACAATAACATTTTTATTTACTGTAGGTTAAATTCTGTGTTTCAGAGTGAACTAGTGCATCAGTTATTAGTGAGCTGGGAAGTTGTAATACCGTGTTTGAGTCAGGAGAGTAGGCTTTCTCTTCGTAGGGTGGCCATTGCCGTACAGTTTCTTCCTCTGATCAGCTCTAATGCGTTGTTTTCCCTTTTATTCCTTTATTGAGTCTCCAGATATTTGGGGAGATTCCAGCAATTGGGTGGCTGAGGCATGAGAATCACAAGTTCAAGGCCAGTGGATTACATAGCACAACCCTGTTTCAAAACAAAACAAAACAGAACAAGAGTGCTGAATAGAGGAGTCATTTGGATTCAGTTTTAAAATACTTACCTAAAATCTTTTATGTGTATGTTTTCCCAGTGTGTGAATTCACTTTGTTTCTTAGTTTGAAGTGCAGTAGTTTTTCATTTAGCTACAAAAATTTTATTTGCCAGTATAAAGATGAAATGTAAGGTACTTTTTTATTCTATGGGACAATAACGTGCCTGAAGTATTTTGAGGAAATTGTAGAAGTATTCCTACAATTGAAGAAAAAAAAAAGAAAAGAAAAAACCTTAAAGACCCAACTTACTAGGAAACATACTCACATTTTTAATAATAAGCTCACCCAGACATTTCTCATTTAAAACTTTTCTCATTTAAAAAACTCAGGTGGAAATAAGGATGCATTTGACTAAATATTTTGTAAGACATTTAAGTGATAGATTCCCCTTTCTTCTTCTCGTTTCTCCTCCTTTCTCTCTGCTTGTCAGCTGGGCCAACAGGAGCAGTTCCATACACTGAATCTCACTATTTTCTTACATAGATTTTTTTGCTCTTATTAAAAAGTATTTCTAAGTTCTGAATTTAAGTATAAAATAAATTTATTTTAAAGACACTTTTTTTTTTATACTCTACCTTCATGAGTTACTGAGGTGTAGAAGATTGTTTGCCTTTTGTTAAATGATTCCAAGTTGCTATGCTTTGTGAATTATGCTTTTGTGAGTTTGTAGCCCCCATGCTTTAAGCCACCCATCAGTAACCTTCTGCTTTTATATGTGCCGGCTTCGGGCAGTGTTCTGTATCTCTCCCAGCTTTTATTTGTTGCATTTAATCTGCCATGATCTCAAAAATAAGATGATGTACTTTAGAATTATGTGTTCCTAACATGTATGTTTGTATGTATTATATATATCACAGTATGAGTATCAGCTGTGGAGAACTCCTATGCATGAGCTTTAATACTTGCAACCACAGTAGTTCTTTTGACTGTGGAGAGCCCTGTTTTGCTTATTTTCCAGCTCTCAGTTATGTTCAAAATAGTTGAGACTACTGGTAAGTGACTTTTATTTCAGGGAGCTATGTTAATTTTGTAGCCAGACAGGTTGGATGTCAGATCCTGTCACTTCTATTCATTTTGTCTGATGTGAAGCGCCTGTACTTTTGGGCAAATAGAGCAGCTCCCCTTTCTTCCTGGGGGCGACAGTATTTCAGTGAATTTTCTCTCACTATTTTCTCATGTCTTTCTTGGGTTCTTCTCCTTGTCTCTTAAATTTTATGTCCTTAATAGAAAAGGGAGATTAAAATTTGGAAAAACTTGTAGAACTGTATTGCCTCCCTAACTTACTACATACTTAACCTGTCTACCTGCTATGCATTTGAGGCCTGGCGTTTGGTCCCGCTGTCCTGGTGTTTTTGGAATAAGGAGTGTAAATAATTCCACACAGTTATTCTGTGCCCAGCCTCAATTTGACATTTGTGTTTAGTATCTTGCCTTCCCCTTAGTGCACACTGTCCAACCTCCCACTCCCCAGCCCTCAGTTCCGGTGCCCCAGGCCTTCGGCATCTTTACCAGTCGCTTGTATTTGGGATATGTGGGAAGAGACCACTACTCTGAGAAATATGTCATGGGTTGGGGGATGGCCAGTCCCCTCATCTCACTGTGCAGTGGCATCAGAGTAGAAGATGGAGAAGAGGGCAGACTGTTTCAAATGTCTCAAATGGGAGCTCTTAACATTTTTCTCTCAGTTTTTGTGTAACATTGTAAATACGGGAAAGTGGATTTGGAACTGTACTGGGGGGAGTTACAAAGCATATGTAATACGTACTAGGTAGTGCATTTCTTTATGAGAAACTTTTTAACATGCAATTTTTGTTTAGACTTCACAGTCAGTTGCATTATTCCCCTTTTCTTTGTACTAGGAGTTTCCGTTTTTTACTTTGACGGCATTTCCTCCTGGATTTCTTGTGCACGTTGGCGGTGTTGTTAGTGCACGCTCTGTGAAGCTTTTGGATCGCATCCACAACCCCGGTATGTTCTTCCAAAGTTGATTTTTACTGTTTGTCTTAATTTTTGTGCTTACTAGAATTGATTTTTAAGATACTTTGTATGTTAAACCTATCTGAAAGGGAAATGGAAAAAATATAAACTGGCACATGTTACTGTAAAATATTCACAGCTCTCTTAATTAAAAATAATCAAGCTAAGTAGGGATATATTCTCATTGCTTTCTATGCAAAACAAGCAGATCTTGATTTATTTTTGGCCAGGGTGTCACTTGGAAGGAACCCTTAAATCATTTTTGAGTCAGTTATTTTCTTTGACTCAGGGAAATGTACAGTTTGACCATTCTGGCCTTGGTTTAAAGGTGTTAATGGTTTCTATTTGCAGTAGCCTTTTATAGGTTATTAATTTCTTTATTCCTGAAAGAGGTAGTTTTTTACATTATAATTCTGAACATGCTACAGAGTTAAAAACAAAATAGACTAACCTCTTGTAAGAATAATAGTAGTACTTCCTTGAAGGATGGGGCCAGAATTATAAAAGGAGATACACATAAAAGTCCTAGTAATTTTAGGCCCTTTGGTTAGAAATACCTTGGTGATTTTTCTAAATATATAAGCATGATAAATGGTTGAAACTTTGAGATGGAATGTGATTCTTGCTTTTATTTTTTGACTGTAAGTGTGTTTCTTTGCACTATTTGCTTATTTTGATGATATACTGTAAACCTGAAATTATATTAGTATTCTCATTTGACAAGTGTTCCTGTATATTCTTTGAAAATTTTGTCACTTGCTATAACCTGTTTGTGACACTTACACCGACAGCTCTGAAACGTAAAATGCTTTGAAATGAGTGCATGGAAAACATTACAGATAGTGATTTGAAGGCTGTGGAGCAGTACCACTATAGAGCATTACCACTTAAAATCTTCTAAATAATTTATGTTCTGTGGTTTGATTGTATGTGAGTTAATTACAAAGAAGCCCAGTGCAATTCTTCTGGGCTTTGAATGAGATCTCACAACAGCAGTTCTTAGCTAGGTTTATTTAATTCTAAAGCTTAACAAACACATCTTTGGAGCACCAGTCTTTTCTTTTTTTTCTTCTTGGTTTATTTTTTGCCCCATGTCTTATTTTTCTGGTCAATTTAAGATCTTTCCTTCACTGTACTATCTGTATACTCTGCAATACTTGCAGGAAAATTAAGACAGATGCCAGCTTGATGTATTATGATCTTGAACACTATGTCAAATTCTGTAACTCTGCATTTAAAAATTTGAATTGTTTGTGTAGTGGAAGGAAATACTGCGTTAAGATACTCAATATTAACTGGGTGACCCACCGGTAGTTACATGTGTTTCTATGGATTATTGACTCAAATTTTTGCATCGATAGCATCTATTTATATGGTACTTTCAAAAATGGTTTTAGGAATATATTCAGTTGTTGGTGATGTCTTCTATTTACTGAAAACATTTCGATTTTATTTTGTCACTTTCATGTACTCTGAATAAACTGTAGAGTCTGAGAGAACAAGTAAATATTACTTAAATAAATTAAAATAGAGTTGTATTTAAAATACTAATACTCTTTACAAAAACTACTTTTGGGGATTTATCATACTTACCAATTTATTCTAACTGTAAGAAATGTAGGAATCCAGCCTCAGGGAAAAAAACAGGAATCTTTATTACAGAATGTGTTTTATATGTTATAATTATTAGCTTAACAATTTTCTCCTTTTCCTCTCCTTTCAGAGTAGTATTTTTAGTAACATGTAGAAAATCTTAGTTACTAATGGATTAGTCCCTAAAGTTTATTGGCATATACATATAAATGCTTTTACTGATGTATGAATTATATTTTTATTTATTTTTCAGTTACACATATCAGTTATAGTAATAATCCCAATGTTATCTTACTTTGATTTAAAACGTCACATTCTTGGGTTGTTTTACATGTATAGTATACACTAAAAAGAAATATTAATCTCCAGGTCCCTTATGTAATTTTTTATGAGAAATTTTAATCTGTTGAGGCAAGTTGAACATTAACACAAAATGAAACTCTAGACTGCATCTGCCATAATGAAGATGTAGTGATTTTGTAACACTGAGTTACTCTGCCGAGAGAAACTTGTGCATGTGCCAGTGTTAAAAATGCGGTTTGCATTCTCAAATTGATGTACCTCTTTTTTTTTTTTTGACTAGTGAATATGGAAAATTTTTATTTCATTCTCAATATAAAAGGGGAAAAAGCTCCTTTTAAAATCATTACCACCTAATCACTGTAGATTATTATTTTGAGGTTTTTCTTTATTAGAATTTCTTTCTTTGTTGAATATTAAGCAAATAGGTGAATAAAAAAGAATGGGGTGGTTTTAAAAATCAAGGTAATTGATTAGACCAGTTAATATCAGGTCACTGTAGCATGCTTCTTCTCCTTTCCTGTTTCTATCTCTTATTAACTCTGCTGTCTGTGTCTTTCCAGTTCCTGTCCAGGGGTGTCAGTTTTGTTCTTGTTTGTAGTTGTTTTGTTTTATTTCTACTATTCTGCACCTAAAACTGATCTACTAATTTGCTGTTTTGAACTCAGCCTTTGTCGGAATTATGGGTAACACAAGATCTTACAAACTGCTAGACTGGAATAGTTTCAATTCAGGTATTTTAATGGTCATTCAGTTCTACATACGCTGGCAAAAATTATGGCAGCTCAGTGAAGTTTTTAGAAATGTTCTAGCTTAACTAGGCTTAATGTCAATTCACTTATGGATATATTCTGCACTATGAATGTAATAACTTGTAGTTTCCATGGAAACACAAATATGAAAATGTGTTACAATGAATTGATTAAAACCATAGAAATGGTTATAAGTTATGAGGGACTTTTCTTTGGTAATCAACTTTTAGGATGAAGGGGCTGGGGATTTAGCTCAGCGGCAAAAGCGCCTGCCTGGCAAGCGCAAGGTCGTGAGTTCGGTTCCCGGTACCGGAGAAAAACCAAAAAACAAAAACAAACAAAAAAAAAAAAAAAAAAACTTTTAGGATGATAACTAAACTGTTTTTACAGATTTTGGACAGTTTTTTTATGTCAGGTAAATGATGCAGGCATTATTAGCTTTATGATTAGGCAAATATTTGTTAAATATATGATAACTGTTAAATGACTAACTTGATAAATTTTAAAATAAAGTATTTTAAACTGCATATTTAGATTTGGATAGAATATATTTAGTGTTCTGTTAAATACTACAAAAATATAGTGATTAGAATTTTTGATTTGTAATTCTGTTAAATGTTCCAAAATTTGGTAGCCAGGAGCAGATTTTGGGAGGGATTAACAGCTTCTATACGCTTTCCTCCTCCTCCTTCCACATAAGAAGATAGTTTTTCTTTTTAAGTAATATGTATGTTGGTAGAGCTTATAGCTCTTAAAGAAGCCAAACATAGAGAATTTTACAGCTGATGATGTGGTTTAGGGTCAAAACCTATTAATTTTTCTTTTTGATAGGGGCATATTCTCTTACTAATATAAATATTTCAATTTTAATATTGTCTTTTTTAGAAATAAGTTAAGTAATAGAATTATTTTAATTCAATATCAAAACTGATATGTTGCCTAAAGAAATTTTTCAGTCCTTTGTGTCAGAAAGTTTAAAGACAAGCAAAAATACCAAAGAGCTCAACATTTTAGATAATATCCCAAAATCTTTTCAATATTATAAATCTCTTTTGTTCTCAGGAGTCTAAGCTGTAAGTTCTGCTGTAAGTAATGCATGTTTGACTATGGAGTAGGTCATGTTCATCCTGCAGATTTACCTAAACCCAATCTAGTATCAGTATGATTATGACCAGCCTTTTCAGATGTAGACTTTTAGCAACTGGTAAACGTAAGAAAATTATTTCTTTTTTTAATCTGAGTTTTCATCAGAATTAAAATTACCCTTTTTAGAATTGATTTTTAATAAGAAATTTAAGGATATCTTATTGGTTTCATTTCATAAAAGAATATATTTTTACAACATGGTCATCTTAAGGTAATATGAGGAGAAAAAGGCTATATGAAAAAAAGATGCAACCGATCATTAATAATTTAGGAAGTAAAATCTTGTCAGGGCAAAGGTTTTAGGTTGTGATTGACGTACAGTATGTTGGTCTTATGATAGAACAAATAGTGTTGGAAAGTGGGAAGGGCAAACATTGAATCTCCTAGAAATAAGTCATGGTCCCCCGTAAGTATAGAAGTTTGGCAAGGAGAAACATGGTTGAAGAAGCAGTATATCTTGCCATCATTTAAAATAATGTCAGGTGGGAAGTGTATGAAGAAAAATATATGGATATGTTATAGAATGGTAAACGTAAGAAAACGACAATTTTTGGCTTAATGTTGTCATAGTAGTATGCTTTTAATTGAAGCATTAGACTTTCCTGTCACAGGTAGTACATCGTCAGAAATAAAGATGATTTTGATAACTAGTTTAGAAAAAATAACTTGATAATTCTGAGGAGCATGTGATATATTTGGGAAATATAATAAAACATTTATGTATTTAATTTGGAAGTATTTAATAATTTTTCTTTTATTGCCATAGAAACTCAGGAGTTGATCACATTATTAAGCAAGTAGTTGTTTTAATTAATTCTAGAATTATTCACTGATACCATATTTCCTGGCTTTTCTGACCCTATACGTTATATAATGCATCATCAGTTTAATAGCCTTCCTAGAAAAAGGAAAAAGTATATTAAATATACTTAATTATTCAACATTCTTATTTCAGATACATTAGACTGTGAATAGGTGTAGGAAAATGTGTCACACAACATTTGCACAGATTACACGAGTATGTAGAGCCATGCTCTGCATAATGACTTTCTGGTCAGTGATGGGTCACATGTGATAGTAGTTCAGTTAGATTATATTACCTAGTGTGCTGTTGCAGTCATCATTGTGTACGTACATTCTAATGAGGCATTTCTCAAAATGTATGTATCCTAGTTAAGTGCCACATGACTGTATCAGAAT